GTGAGATAGTGAAGAAAAGATCTTCACATAGAAATTATAGATGATGGCCATAATTAGGAGCACGCAGAATGTACCAATGCTTAGTAAATTTCGTGTGCGGTTTTTATTTAGCTACGCCTTGTTAAAATAACTCCCAACAAAAGTTTTCGAAATTCTTAATGAAATCCCTGAGCAGATATGTCGTAACAGATATCGAAGAACAAGAATGTTTATGTAATAGTATCTTTGAAGTTGTAAGCTTCTGCGGATAACTGATAATAGGGACTTGTTTCGGCAAGTATATACCTTCTTGAAAATGCTTCACCTAAAAGTGATTAATTAAGCCTGTGGATTGCATTTTCTGCGTCATTTGTATGTATCAGACTAATTTGTGAGTCTAAGAAATTCGATGATTTTGAGGTTGATTAAAGCATTTTATTTTTTATACAACTATTATTGTTTTTACTGGAATATCAAGTATTATTCTTCTGAAAATACTACCATCATAATAGCGAGTTCATTCGAAATGAAATTGTAGGATAAAACATAAAGCTCAAATATTCTTGATCATTGGTACATTCGTATAGCACTGATTTTTTGCAAGAAAGATGCAGCATTAAGATCAAAAATGAAATCTGATATTATTGAATACTAGTCGGCATCTTCGGGCTCCACACCGTCATGGGAAAGGAACGCTGAACGGTATAATGGTTCATGCAGCAAAACTTACCGTTTTCCGCATTTCTTCGCTTTACTTCGCCCGCCAACTTACCAGTGTTTCTCTCCTGCATCGCTTGGGTACTGCGATAGTCCTTACATCAAAATAGACTTTCTTCCTCTCTGCCTTACCGCATTCAGCTGACAAATAGATGAAATTGGGTTTTACTTACTTACAAGGGAGGTACGATTAGTCGGAGTGGCCTTTCAAAATGATCCTACACCACTTTGAAGAAAATTCAATGGTGATTTCGAATTTATCGATTTCATTACCTGCTAAGCACCTCTGCATGCCGAGTTATGAATGTTTTCAAGCCATAATCTAACAAGGGAAGGATACTTGGTCACCGTGGCCATCCGTAATGATCTGTATATCAAAAATGCCGGTTCGAATATTGTCTTCCATATCTGCGAAACGATAACCTGGATGGAGTCATGATTATTTTTGCACGAATAATTGTTCTGCTTGCGGAGGGTCAAAATGACAATAAAAAATTTTCTTTCCTTTTCAAATGTGATTATGATTTATATAGGTATTATACATCAGTATTCCTTTTCAAATTCTCTTCAATAGCTTTAAACGGTAACCTACAGCAAATTTGTGGTTTCAACTAACCAAAAACACGCAAACTTTTATCGAAAAAAGTTCATAACTTTCTTCAGAAGATCGTTTCGCAGATTTTGAACACATATTTAGAATCAGCGTTTTAAGATGCATCTTACGGTATACATCGCATTCCAGATGGCCACGATCACCGAGTATCCTTTCCTTGTAAGTAAAATCAAACGTTACGGTCTTTCCAATATTTGTTTCAAATAGAGCAGTGTTAAGATCCAGATTTGGAATTAGCATTCGGTGCTCTTTAAAGTGGTGTCAGTTTTATGTGAAAAGCCCAGTTCGACCAAACGGACCTCCCTTGTTAAATACTTAGATGCCCTGTCTTCATGTGACTTGCGGGCCCCACCACAGAAGGAAGAATAATGTCTCTGTCCCTCGCTGCCTCCACGATATTCTTGGCTGTCGTGGGGCTGCGTTCACGAGTTCAAAGTGCGAATGTCGTATCCAGCTGATTTCTCAGCTGGTCCATCCGTTCCACAAACACGTCCGCCCATTTCGTTCGAGCAAGTGAGAAGTTTTGCTTCGCGACAAATCCACTCTGATGTTCTTAGTATCCATCTGCCATTTGTTTTTTCCATAGTGTGATCAACCCATCGATCGCTTTCGCAACCTACTCCGCTGGATTAAAACGGGACATTTTTTCTCAAATCCGTACTGCGAAGTCCGACAAGATGTTGCTTGTGTCGGCTCATCTTCATAAGACTGCCCTCAAACGCTTTATGGGTGGTCCGTAGAGCTTTCAGCACGAGTGGCTACAATGTCGGCCCAAGTCTCAGCTGCGCAACAGAGCGCCGGCATAACGGTGGGGCCAAACAGGTGGGCTCGGAGCTTCGAGCCCATCAGTTATTTTGTGGCTTCTTTCAAAGGTCCAAAGGCGGCCCAGGCTGCTCTTTTTCTTTAGTTATTCTTGCCGGAAGTCGTTTTCCATGTTCAACTGACACTGACGTACGAGAGACACTGAGAAGATGTCTCCATAATAGGGTACCTTCGATCCATTTTTGCATCGTAGCAAAAGGGATTTCTCATAAACTTAGTCTTCTTTCGATCCGATCTTTTCCTAATTCAAAAGTTTCTTCAGCATCGTTTCTGCTACAGTGATACTGCTCGAAAAGGGTACGACGTTGTACGCACAACGAAGGTTTGACAGAAATCTCCCTTTAACGTATGCCTCATCCCAATCCATAACTTCGTCACTGCAAGGCCGCGGTGAACAGCTTCGGCGAGATTGTTTCGCCTCGTCGGACGTCCCCCCAATTGGGATGGCCGGGGGGAATGGAATAGCTGCATCGTCGTTGCACAGTCCTTGTAGCAGTCGCTAACATCCACTCCTTGACCGACTAGCGCTGACAGGTCGGCGTTCTAGACACTGTCAAAGGCTTTTTCAGTCGACGAGGTTAGGGCGAGAGGCAGTCGGTATTCCAGGTAGACTTCTTCTATGACTGTCGAAACCGTCTAGATGTGGTCCATGCCGCTGAATCCTTTACGAAATCTAGCTTGTTCTTGGGGTTGGGCTTCCTCCACTGTCCTTAGATTTGCGAGGGATAACCTTTGTGAATCGCAATGCTCACTTCAGCAGGCAAAATCGATGGTGGTACTTCACCAGTGGGAACAACGGGCATCGCGACAGGTGTTGATAAGCGAGAAGGGTTGTTGTAGAAGTCCTTCACAATAGATTCCATCTTATATCGGGAAGAATTTAGGGTCCCGTCTTCGTTAGATAGTGCAACCAGCGGCACTGATAATCACAAAGGTCCTTTCGCCACTTCTTAAGACTTCGTCTTCCTTCGGCTGCTTAGTATTTGGCTTGCCTGTACTTTCTGAGAGGATCCTCCTGCAAAGCTGTTCTGCAACTGGCGTTGGTTATCAGTCGCTCGAAATGGTTTTATTAGAATTTTGCCTCAGGAAACTTCTTCTTTCGAGCAAGTCCGAGGTAGTCTTTGAAATGCGTCCCAAGTTCTTTTGGAACTCACTGAGGCGCACTCTACGCAGGCTCGCAATCTTTTCAAGACCCGATCGTATTCGTACGTCGGGTCCTTCTCGATGGGCCAGTCACAACTTGATATGAGCTCTTCTAAACTGTTACCGTCATAAACGACTTCTTTTCTTCTTGCGGCACTGTAGCAGGCCTTCTTTTTCAGCTTTCGACTGAATCGTACATACCTTCGCTCGAAGGAGGCGGTGGTCGGAGCCACTGGATAAGGATGGAATACTGAGACATCGAGCAAGCTCCACCTTCGATTAAAGGCAATGGATCAGCGGAATGGAGCTCTATCAGATTTTGGTAGCATTAGATAGTAGACCCCCGAATACACCGTAGCCCCAATCCCACCCTCCAATTCATGCGCTAGATCCTGAAAAAGTGATTCAAAACCACACCAATGACGCCCACTCAATGGAAGTGAGCGGAACTGGTGGAGTTTTGAATCTCCATTACAGGACTTAGAGCATAAAATAGAGGGTGGGATTGGGGCTATGGTGTATTCGGGGGTCTACTACCTAACACTACCAAAATCTGATAGAGGTCCATTCTGCTGATCCACTGCCTTCAATGGGATGCGGTCGATCTCAGCGAGGCAGAGTCGGTCGGTCCAAGTCGCGATTTGAGCGCCGCGTTTAATCGCTACAAGACAAGTGTTACGAGTGCATTGCAGTGCCGATCTTCTTGTATTTCCGTTGTGATAATTAGGCATGATTGGTCGTGCTGGAAAATTATCACAACCGAGACGCAAGAAGACCGGCATGAAATGATATTGCTGCAGTTGTCTTGTCGGATCAATCGCGACGATGAAATCGCATGAACTCTGTCTGAGGCTTAAACCATTCCATCAAACGATTCCAAGAACTACCGGCGATGTGTTTTCTTCATAAAGATGAAATTTTCATGGAAAAGTCGACGGATAGAAGCTCGACGAGACTGTTGCCGTTTTTGCTTCGGAGCAAAAATCCTCGATCCTATAATCCTCTTCTTGTTTCATTTTCGCGTTGAAGTCGCCTACAACGAACTTGCAGAAGAGTTCCTCCTTCTGGTAATTCCTCCTTCTGGTCGTTGCCTCCACGTCTTCTTAAAAGTCATCTATTTCCGATTCGTCATCTGTCGATGTTAAGGAGTAGGATTTTGTCAACGCTATCTTAGAGCTTTTATACCATTGCTGCAAAGGGTCCAAGTTTGGAACTTTCGTTTACCCCAAAAAGTCTCAGATCATCACAACTCCAAGCATTCTTTACAAAATTATAGCATCTTTTCTTTGACGTAAGTAACCATCCCATCACCGTATATCATATAACAAGGGGGGACAATGATGGCGATGTATTATTCATGTCCAAATCAAAAAAATCATCCCATTGGATGATATCTTGCGAAAGCATGTGGAGGACCTCGTACCACAACCAGTGACGGTTTCGGAAGCCTCTATTTGGAAAATCGGGAAAATTGAAATCACATTTCTTGCAGCCCTGTAGGCCTTTCGCAAAAAGATGCACACTAAAAGCTAATTTTTTTTGGTAAAGAACTGAAACAATGAAAGTTACCAGCGAAAAACCAGGCATAAGTTTTTTTAAACTTATGTAGATAATCGGCATCTAACACAACATGCTAGACATGTTGCTGATACAAGATGAGGTTTTGAAAAATCGAATTTTTGCTTTGAGTTTTGTTGGCAGAAGAGACCCACCTTTTTCATAGTTGTCAAGTATGAGCTGCAACTACTTCAAAATATAAATCCCCGGTATAATTGTCACCTGGAGGCTGTTTTTCGCAACTCTGCAAATATATATCATGTTTTCGAAGCCTTCTCAGCCTTCTTTTACTGGCATAAAAAGGAAGTTTTTGGGCGCTGCTTTTACATGTAGGAATATGATAGATTACTAACAGAGTAAAGTAAGCTTCACAAACGACCAGAGTGCCAATGCGATGGACAGCTAGCAGACAATACTGGAAAATCTATAATTTACTAACAAGGAAATGTCAGAAATCAGGTGGCCAAACCAAAGAAGCTGCATATCATTCGATGCAGTATAAAACGCTAACTTCAATCTGTCTTCCTTATCTGCTTACCGCCTCTGTGGACGAAGCTACAAGCGGTTTTAATGTGAAAGAATCATACATGAAAGCAGCGAAATTGGGCACATCGTTGCACTTTTAGCTCAGCTGCTGGCTTGAAAAATTTGAAGTAAGCTAGCTGCATGTTTTGGCTCAGCATTTAGGCGAACGTGGCTCTGTACGGCTAAATTTCTAATTTTACGCATAATTTCCTAGCAAAATAATAGTCTTTAATGGCTTATAGCTTCGTCCAGAAGAGCGATAAGCAGATAAGAAGACAGATTTAGAGCGCTTCATGCTGCATCTGGTTTCTTAGACGCAATATATGAAGCAAGCTCGATAGCCCTTTCACTATTAAAGGTCATGACAACATTTCCAGCATCTGAGGGTATGCAGCTTGTCTGAAATGGCCACTTCCATTTCTGATCATTTCCTTGTAAGAAAGACCATGTCTTATGAATAGTGTGCCCTACCCATGTGATATCATTGTCCCAAAATTACTTTGGTAACCCTTGCTTATACTCTTACGTTTTTGCTCATAACGTGTTGACGAGCTGGTTTCTTAGACGCAATATATGAAGCAAACTCCGATAGCCCTATCACTATTAAAGGTCATGACAACATTTCCAGCAACTTTTATGTCATCAGTTGTCCGGCATCAGAGATGCTCAAAATCTTACCGCTGTTGAATCCGGACAAAATTTAATTGTATGCGACTTCGATAAGATAAATTATTACATGAATGTAATAAAAACACCTTATCCGCTCAAATTCATAACAGAATTCATTTGCATATGCATATTTATGAAGCTTATTTTTGACCAACATTAACGTGCTAAAATATTTTTCCGCAATCCTACTATGCATGATTATTGGAATAATTAGTATAAGTATTAACCTTTATTGCTAGGTTGTGCATAATTTTACAACTTACGTCCTTAACATCGCTTCCCAGCGTGGGAACCTCTAAGCTAAGTGACCCCTATTGCTTGATAGTATACCTGGCGGCTCCCACTTTTATGTAGGCATCTACTGAATTTGAATGCTACCTGTGTTATACCTTTTGTACCAGCCTCGTCAAAGCTATTGTGTGTTCTACTGGAATGCCCAATAAACAATTTCTTCAACAAGAAGGCACCAAATCTTGGCTTATACCAAACCCGTCATAAAAAGTAAATGGCCCTACTTAGCAAATCAAATCAAAGTCGAAGCTGAACCTTGGAAAACATGAGACGCAAAAAAGACATTCTAGGAAATTGCTCAGCAGTATTGACAGTCGTCAATTTAAAGGCAGTAGATTAGCAGAATGGACCATTTTCGAATTTGATGGATTCGGGTAGTAGACCCCTCAAGTACACTGTAGCCCAAACCCCACCTGCCAGATCATGCGCTAGGTCCTGAAAAATGCGCTTCAAAGCTCCACCAGCCACGCCCCTTTCCATTGAGTGGGCGGGCGGTGGAGTTTTGCAGCGCATTTTTCAGGACTTAGCGCATGAATTGGCAGGTGGGGTTTGGGCTACATTGTACTTAGGCGGTCTACTACCTAGAATCAAAATTCGAGAAGGGTCCATTCTGCTGATCCACTGCCTTTAGCATGCCAAAATTCAAGAGTCGAACACGGTAATTATACATAAAGCCATCCTGAGCGCGGTGAAGCACATATGGGTAGGCTCATCTATGCCATAAAATTTGCTATCAAAAGGAAAGAAACGTGATAATTGCTGATAATTGCTAGGCATATTTAGCCAATGACGTACACAAGATGATACATGCTTCTTACCTACATTGACAATTAAAAGGTATCGGTTCCGTATGCAGACGTTCAAAAAATTTTAAAATGTGCGAATTGGATTTTTGTGTTTATGAGTGGTACACAATGCATGCGAAGTCTCATAAGTGTAGCTTTTGATAAATATGTGCTGTTCAGTTATGGAGAAGATTTTAGCGTTAGTCGCAGCAACAAATAAGCAGTTTACAACGTGTCTATAATCATACCTGAAAATCAAAGGTTACGTCTTTCTGCCCCGTGGCCTCCGATGCATGATAAATAGGTTTCTTTTCGACTTCTGCCTAAAAACCTACTTGTGTTTTTACATACTCAAAAACGCCGTATGTATAGCGCTAAGAGCATTCACTATGCATTTTTTGAGAAGGCATTAGGAAACTACCCGGTACCCAGCAGAGGGTGATGATGAATGTAAAGTTGGTCTTTTTTAGCTGGAAAAATGAAAGACATAGACCCTTAGGAAACAGGGCATCTCCCCTGAGGCGGACCGAATTTGATCTCTTAGCGGCTCAGTCCAGCATCCGGCGATTAATCGATCTGGATGCTGATCGCTTTGTGGATGTGAAAACGGTGCGCGTACTCAAGTAAACAAGAAGCAGTATGATTTCTTCAGAAATAAATAGGTAGATGATTGATTGATTGCACCGCGGCGGCAGTGGTTCGGAGTCCTTAATAGCGGTTATCAACCGCTGATGACCGCTATCAAGGATTTCACTTAGCAATTGCACGAATGAAACATAGTTATGCCATTTTAACATGATTCGAAAAAAAATTGAAATTTTTGGAGCAGAGGTAGAAAGCGACAAATAAATAAATTCGTAATCTGTGCATCTTTCAAAGAATTGAGGCAAACAACCTTTATAATGGGAAAGAAACTTGTTTTCATTTTTCCGTGGCTGCGATCAGCTGTGCATCAATTTCCTTATGAACCTGTCTGCATCATTAGGTGCCATGAGATGCTTTGTAAGTTACCACGGAGCAATTTACGGAAGTTTTCTCGGAGCCTCCTCTTCAACACACTATTTCGGGAGATCATAGCTCACGTCATCTGTCGTGGCTCGGCAGGGAAATGGACGGTCATCATTTTACTGGAACCTTACATGAGGGCCTCATATGAGATCATCTCTCCTGACCAAGCTTTGCTACGGGCCATGACTTCAAGTCATTTGTAAAATGCGCATTGCACAACATGTGCGCTACTTGACGACAGGTTAGGACCTGTTCATCTCCATTGTTTTTTCCTACTTCCTTGTCTCTTTTAGTTCGACTGGATGTATAGTTAAAAACACATATTTCTATAGTGAATTTGTTAGAAGAAACGGTTTTGCTGATAAGTTGCTAATGAGGGTGTCTCGTCCTGCGCCTAGCGGTAGGCTCACATACTAAGTTACAATGACTTGACGATATCAACGTAGGCTTGCATGCACATACATACATATATATCTTTCAAGCATACGCAGCTGCATAACGAACATCCATTACGAGGCTGACTTGACGATTTGGCTCAAAACGCAAAGTGTACGAATCAAACTAAGTTCTTCAGGGCCCGTAGTAATCCCCCCGTCGTGAGGGTCGCGAGTTCGAAACATCGCACGTACCCAGCACGTGTCGTTTCTGCCGCGTTTCGTCGCGCGTCTATCTCTTATCACAGCCGCGCGGCGAAATCGCGGGACGTCGTGACTGCAGGACGTGCTTGTCCTCGCGCGCAGAGGACGAGCACGTCGTGAACGTCGTCACTTAAGGGGCAGAGAAATAAAAATAGTGAGCGCAGCGTGGAGACGCAGGAAGGTGCAACTGACTAGGGGTCGAGTACGCCGAGCTCGCGATCTTGTGCAAGGACCGCAGATACACAGCAGTAGGTTCAACGCACGTCAAATGCAATCGATATCAACAGCTGATAGGCGCCCAAATGTCGACCCACTCAGCGACTTTCCGTATTCTGAGAATTTCCGCTGTACTATGCTTCATAATTTGAAAAGGTGAGTTTACTTCATTCACAAATTATAAATTAGAAGTCCCTTCTCTTGTGATTTAGCCATTTTTTCTTGTTATTCTCGCATTGCATTCCATCCGGTCATAGAATTTCTCTCCATGTCATAATTTTCTTATATTTGCCATTAGCGTCTTGTATGGCGTATGTTTTCCAATTTGCTGTTCATTAGCTGTGTACCTAGCGTTTCTCTTTCTATCTTAGCGAGAGAACCGTCTGGCGTCATGGTTAATGGAATAGCTTTTGTTTGGAATAACTGAAGTGGTGATTATTTACAGTATTTTAAATTTTCCAGTATATTGGCGATAATTTATGTGTTACATGCTTTCTTTTCCTATACTACGAAAGATCCTAGTAGTTTTGGTTTATTAACCTGGAAAATTTTCTAACAAAGCAGTTTGCAAAATGTTTCCTCACGCGAGACGCGTACCCCTTACCCCTCGCACCTCATGGGACAACAGCGTCCGACACTGTCGCTGCGCTATTTGCATTCCTTGTGTATTTTCCATTAGTGAGCGCCTTTATTGTGAACGTGGCAAAGCAGTGCATACCTTTATACTTTATAAATGGAGGTTGGTACAAACCAAGCTTGCTTATGAAGTTGTTCGAACGATGTTGCAGGCAAACGCCCTGTTTGCCTCATTTGTTACGTTTGATTCTCAAAGGTAAATCATGAAAGCTATGGCGCAGTGACAGTGCGCGCCGTCAACGACAACCGAGGAGTACGATCGCGCGTGCGGACGTATGTTTTGCGGCGACCAAAACGTGGTCGTGAGCAGCACGTCCTTCAGTCGGACACGTCGTGTTCTCGATTTCTTTAAATCACGACATATTTCAGGGGTTTACTACGGGCCCAGGAGGAATACAACTCGCACCGCTAAATGTAGGCGACCTAGGATGAGAAGACCTCAAATGCCAATTTCGAATCTGCTTTCCTTATCTGCTAAGCAAGTTCTGGTGGAAGTGAAAGTGAGCGCTAAAAATAATGTAGCAGCAATGTTTACAATACACAAAGGCTAGCCTGAATTAGCGAAACCAATTATGGATCAAATCGATGACAGTGACGGAGCACTCGTCAGAAACTTGAATAAGGTTTGGACCTGCTTTCTACTCAATATATTTACCATTTCTCAATATATTTTTTTTATTTATATTGGTTAACTCAGTCTTCCAGACTTTTTTGAGTATTTTTTATAGAAAATAATTCAGAAAATTAATATTCAGTTCGAAGGCAGTGCCCACCCATTAGAGTTTTGAAAGTTTGTTGGTAAAGTAGCGGGACGTCTGTCTAAGTCATCGTCGCCTTGCGTTGCAAAAGATAGATATTTCGGAACCAGAATTTGCTCCAGAAGGCACAAGCGGCCAAGGTAGCTCGGCCATTAACGTGAGTGGTCTGGAATTAAAAAGCCCAAATTTCGGCTTTAATGTATCTAGAACTGTCATAACTCACTCTTTATTATAATTATGAAATTTTGAGATTTCTATCTACTCAAAACCACTTTCAAACTTAATATCTTTAGACCACCATGTTAAAAGGCGGAGCCACCTTGGCCTCATCTACTTTTGGAGCAATTTTCTCGACTCGAATTTCATCTTTGACTTGGCCAATTATTCTCATTAGGGGTTTCGCTATTATCTGGCACAAAATCTTACCATCCTCAATTTGAATACACAGTGGCTTTGAGCTCTTCAAGGCGTATCTGTTTTCTTTTCAGGCTCCAGTGCGTCTCACAAGAAAATGGTCAGGAGTCAAAATGGTCAGTCAGAAGTCGAAGGTTATCAAAGAAGCTCAAACTATCGGATGCAGCATTGAACGCTGGTTTTAAATTTACCTTCTGTATCTGTTGAACGCTTTTGTGAACGAAGTTATGAGCAGTTTTACTGCAAAGAAATCGTGCACACAATAGCAAAACTTGACATATGAATGACGGTTTACTCATATTTAGGCATGCACTTTCTAAAGCAACCTACTGCAAGTTTTGACACAGGCCTGAGCCAAATATGTGTCCAATTTTGCACATTCATACATGTTTCTCTGCAATATAACGCGTTGAAGTTTGTTTTAAGAGCGTTTAGCAGATAATGAGGTTAGATTAGGAATTAGCGTCCTATGCTGCATCTAATGGTATGCAGTCTGTTAGAAATAGCTGCTTCGACTTTTGAGCATTCCCGTAAGTTCGGTCGCAGCCTGATCAAGCATTTTTGGAAATACCTCATTTGAATGATGGATGTACAATAAATTACTGGGCTTTGAAAGTAGCACAAACACACTCTATTTTAGGTAAACTATTGATTTTGAGCAAGTCACCAAACGCATTGTATTTTACATTACAACTAACGTGGAAAGTGGTAAAAGAAATATTAAGACTTACCTTAAATTTTTTATTTTGGATATTTTTGCTTTCACAGTGCGCAGTACTTGGAAGCTGAAATGATCTTCTTAGTAATAGTAAGTGTACTGCGTCTACCCAACTGTTTGTCTCGCATGAGGCCCATTTTTTTGGTGTTCTAGTTCCCTAAACACGTCAAACGCTTCTTCTTCTTCTGCTGCAAAGATAGTAAGTGAGGTCTGAAGATCAACTTGGTACTCGAAAATAGCGGCCAATGCTTACCTTCGGCTTCTCGTTTCATCATCTCTTCTATCCGTTTCTCTCGCTTTTTCCTATGATTTTTCTCATGTCTCATGAAACAGACTATGGCGATTATTACAAACAGAATACACACTACTGCCAACGGAACAAGAAGCAGTATGTCGTAGCTTAAACAATCTATCTTTGAAAAATGAGCACAGCGAAATTTTGTAAAATGGCTTCACTCTTCACTCAATCGAAATCTCGCACAATAGATAAAAAATAGCCTCTCTCAAAAGCTCTCTCACTTTTAGATGTCACATCAGCTAATGTGCAATACACATAATCAAATTTTATATCTTTTGAGCGCGCGGTGTTCATAGACTTATAAGAAATGGAGCAACTGAAATGATTTTTTGAAAATACCGTCTAAAATTTAAAAGCTTCATTCAATCTCACCGCCTCTCATTTACAAATCTGTTCTATACACGTAGGGTGAGCAGAGCGTTGTAAACATTTTTCTAGCGTAAACATTCGGTTGGCTCGAAAGTTCTTGCATAATTGAAACGAAAATCACATACCCTAACGTTAACCTAAATTTATGCCATTATAGTTCAAAACTGAAAGACATTTACGCTTTATGACAGCTCTTCAGTACTCTGATATATTTTAGGTTTGATATCAAAAAGTAAAAGAAGGCTAACTAGCCTGGGGTAATCTGTGAAAACTGGAACTTCTTACGTGGAAAACCCAAAACAAAAACGTCACAGCGTCCTATACAGGTATTAAGTCAAAGTTGTGGTTTAAAGGTAAGTTTCCGCGATAAATTGCGGTAGCAAGGGATTTTTTTCCTGGAGATGACGTTCTCCAATTTTCATTTGCCGCGAGTTCGTTGTTTTAGCATTATGCGAGTTTGACTGCCATAGTGAAGTATGGACTACTATCATATTAGTGCTATTGACAATTGTTTTTTGAAGTTAGATAGCGACGCTTATTTTTTGAGAACAAATTCAAAATCAGATTGGTGTGGCGTATTTGGAAACTTTGTTTTTGTCCAAGTCTAGTAGCAAAAGTTGCGGCTGGAAAGACAATGAAAAGCGCAGTCCTTTCTCTATTAGATCGTCCGTTAATGCAATTTTTCCAATCTATTTTGTCGTATACGTTCAAGTCAAGATAGTGGATAAAAAGAATTAAATCTTTTTCCACGGATGCTTAAAATTATCTGAACAGATGAAGCTAATGGTAGAAGCAAAGCAACTTCAAAAGAGCATAAATAGCAGAGCAAATGGCAAGCGAAATACCAAATGGCAATTGGGCTCGAAAAAAATCAGTGAGGCACTAACAGGAGGACAGGATAACGCACTTACAAAAGCCGCAGAGATTTCTCGACCCTAACATCTACAAGGTCGAATCTTCGACTCAAGATTACGCATTCAACTAAAACGTAATAATATTGTTGTCAAACTTGAGAAGAAAACATGGAAGATTATTGCTCAAACGAAACTAAATCGGAAAAAGCAGTCATCATCCAATAATACTGGGCCGAGATATTGCTACTTATCGTAAGTGCATTTCAGCATTGCAGCACTTGCTCAAGGTATGTGCACTATTGTCGGATAATCTGCGCATATGCTGCTAAAAATGGATTTTCTTTCTTACTACCCTTGGAAGCACTCCTAAACCTGACTTACGGCACCCGAAAGATCAGTGTATGTTTTTACGCAAGCACACAGAAGTTCTTACTGTAAAATCAATGCGATACTTACGTCATTGATGACTTGAAGGAGTGTGTTGCAGTTTCTAGAGCATTTTCGCTAAAAAAAGGAAATTGACAGGCAAAGGGGTTGGTAAAATATTTGCCGTACTTCTGCAGAGCGTTTGCGGGTATTACTATGTCGGCCAAACTGAAACACAATTTTATTTATGACTTTACTGTTAAAGCGATAAAAAAGCAAGCAGCAACTCTCAAGATCCGGCTTTTATGAAACCTTGGCATGTGTCGCATGCTCAATTTTCTATTGTATCGTACAGATTTGGGAAGTGGTGTGTATTTCTTTCCTATCAAGGCCTTATGTTTCGACCTCTTTCGTCTTTTTTAGAGGCCTGAATGGTTCTAAATGTTATTGGTAACTTCAGCCCAGCGTCTCCTCCAAGTCTGCTAGTTTTCGGCCTTCTCATGATTCCAGAAAAATGTCAAAGTAGAATGATGTACCAGAAGATCGCTGCTACTAGAGAAGTCTGTACCAGAAAAAAAAACAGCCGCTTCTGTAGGTACACGAAGATGATTTACATTTGTATATCAAACGATATGGGAGGAAGAGAAGTTATTGATAAACGCTCGTTTTTATTATTCATCTCTGAAATCTGGGTAGTAAGCCAAAATGCTTCCAATGCTTTCCTAGCGGAGATCCCTGTTTCTGTGCAAGCATATCACGTCAATATCAAAGTCTTCTCCGTGCCAAACGTGCCAAATGTCCCTTTGCCTGCCAAGCAGCGAGCCCGAATTTTTGTGCTTTTTATCGGCCAAGTGTTTATTTCACGCGAATATTTAAAACTTTACCCTTTTCAGTTGAGTCATTCAATTTGGTAGGGATTCCCAGTTTTGCACAATGAGGTTCTACAGTGTGCGAGTATACTATGCATTGCTTTGTTGTGCAATATCGCTTGTAGCACCTATTTCACTAGCTGGTTTCTGATATCGTCCTTGAGTGTTGATTAGAACAACATCAGCTCGCAGCTGAGCTCTGAAAATGCATGGTGGAACCCCGCAGTGAATTTTTCCGAGATCAAAGGAAGGTAATGTGGGAGCTTGGTGTCACTGTGAATACTGCTGATACCATTTTCAGATCTTAGGGAACGTGGTGATTCATGGCAACCATTACTGCAAACAATTCGGAGAGCTTTTCGCGATTCGCAGCGTTCTTCCTCTCCAAACATCTGCATAGCCGTTTGAAATATACGTGTGATAAGCATTTTACAGATGCAAAATATAAGGACTCATCTTGGTAATCTACACTATGACTTCGCGGCCTATTTCCGATGCAGACTTCTCGAGTAGCGGTGGTCTTCCGGTATGTTCTTCTACTTTGAATTTTATTTTGCAAGAGATTGTGAGAAGGCCGAGAACTAACAGATAGGAGGAGACGCTTGGTGCTTTAGAGTTACGGAAACTTACAAAGGAAGAAAACCTAGTCGCAGTAGCGAAACGAAATGTATGCATATCATTAGAAGCGTCTTGATAGCTGATTCTAAACCTATTTTTTTTCTCTGCTAAGCGTTTCTCTAGAAGAAGCTATGAGCGGTTGAAGATGTAAAGTTAATGGTGCTATACAAATGTGCTTTGGAAACCAGCTTGAAAAGGATTAATTGGCATGGTTTTGAGTGCACTGGCCACAAGGAGGCACTCATACACCGAATACGTAAATAGGTATTATTGAACAAGTGTTTCCTGAAGATGAGGCACTCATTGCTTGCCAAATTTGGACAGTTAAACGCTCATAGAGAGGACATCTTAGCAGATACGGAAGTTAGATTTGAAATTAGCTCATCAAAACGCATTTAATGATATGCATGCATTTCGGTTCGCCGCTACGATCTTGTGTCTTCCCTTTTTAGGAACCACTCAGGCCATTGAGGAACACGAAAGGCGTCGAAATGCCGTGATCGAAAAGAAATCGGGACGACTTCTCAAAAGTGTACGATGCAATAGAAATTTGAAAATGCAAGCAATGTTTGATAAAACATATGCTTCTAACCATTTGTTGAAGAAAGTTTTCCGAATTACATAAATTGCGCGAAAAATTCCGTAAAATTTAATGTGTTGAGTTTCATTGAGGTTGTCAGACGTATGACAACCCAGCCATCGCCAAGAACACACCAAGAATATATGGAATCGTAGCCCAAAAACAGCTACCAAAGTTGAGAACTGAATTGCTATTTTGTTTGTTGACGTTCAAAAGATGTTTTTAGGCCTTCAAATTAAAGATGTGAAAACGCGTAACGATAGCATCAGTTCTAAACTTCTTTTCGGCATTGAAAAGTGGTTGGCTGGGTTTCAAGTTGTAACATCTAGCATTCATGAAATTCAGGTTTACTTTTGCAGTAGAGGTAGCATAGTAATAAGCGAATACACGATAATTGCAGTGGTTCCGCTTTCCCACTTTAGATTTGGCAATAGTCAGTTAAACCTACACATCTCCTGCATAAATCTTCTTAGTAGAAGTCGAGCTATTGGAATCCATAGTTGCTAAAGCTCGATACTAGAAACAGTTAAGCATTTCGAAGTAAAAACTTACCAACTACTTCTTTTTCTTCTTCAGTTGTTAGATCAACTGTTGATGCAGTGTCGCTGTCTTGTGAAACCGCTGATGCGGCACTTGAAGATGGATCGACTTCCGTTTCGGTAGAAAGCTGGACTGATGTCGAGCTTGCAAAAGTCGTAATCGCTACGTCTGCCACAAACTCCTAAATGCATCTTTACTGATGTTCGGCTCAGTGTGTTCTTGAGATCCTTTACCGCATTAGCACTTGTTCTTGAGCTTTCACCTGGCACCGCCTCTGATTGTGAAGTAGTACTCAATATGAATCTCTCGTCGTCATCATGAATTACTGTCTCAGGAGAAGTTATCGGAAGATTTTCATCTAATTCAAGACTTAAAGTTTGCGTGGAAGATGCATCCTCAAATTTCCTCTATTGATGTTTGGACCTAGATGAAAATAAATTACCTACATTTTCAAATGGTTCTGGTTCTTGTGGGGTCACTTCTCTTTCAAACGGTTCTGGTTCTTGTGGGGTCACTTCTCTTTCAAACGGTTCTGGTTCTTGTGGGGTCACTTCTCTTTCAAAAGGTTCTGGTTCTTGTGCGGTCACTTCTCTTTTTCCCCTCCCTGTTCTAATGGATTTTGTAGTCATTTGAGCTAGACTATATTGCGTTAGTTCTGGTTCATCCAATGCATTCCGCCCCTTAAATCTTTCCAATATTGCTAGATCGTAGCTGAATTATTATCAGTAAGAACAACATTTGTGAACTTCTCAATTTGCGTAGTAATTCGCAAAGAGTTTGTAGTTAAGTAATGTTTTCGTATTTCTTGGAAAATGAATGTTCAGGTCAGTTACGTTGTGGCTCCGTCGCCTCTCCATTCTTCTAGGTTTTTCAATAAATTCCCCATTCGTTACAGTAGTGATACCAGCTACTATTTCTTCAGCCATGTACTTTTCTGAAGATCACAAAGTTCAACTACACCATAAATTCAAACATTCTGTTAATGAAGATGCAGTTTTGGCCACTGCTGAAGGAAATTTGGAACAGTTGGATCCGACTTTAGAATTCAATGGAATTGCTACAATGCTTAAACCGATTTACAGCGAGCACGTTTTGTTCTACTTTAGAGGGTATTCAAGCAATCTCCCAGATTTAAAAGAATAATTGACTGACATCGTTGGTTTATGGGGGGGGGGGGGGCGGGGGAGCTAAACTGACATATTATACATGCAAACTTTGCAGCAGGTATAATAAAGAGAAGATTGGTTGGAAAACAAAACAAAACTCGCGGAAGAGAGTCTCAATCAATTTTTGAGTGGATGTTTGGCTGCGCAGAAAGCCAGCGTATATATGAATGCTTGCTTTTACTACTACAGTCTGTTTTAACACAGTTTATCATGACATTGATGACGCGTATGCCACGCAAGAATTCGCAACGTGCAGAAACCATTTTACCGTGTTGTGATAGGACCCATGTTTTGTATTTGCTAGTCCTTTTCCTGTTTTTATTCTTCGCTTGCACAAGGCTGGTGCCCTGCGTTCACAAAACCTCAAAACCAAAAAGGCAATGCGAGCAAGCCGACAGAACGTTTGCACCGGATTAAAGACAGCGTTCGAACGAAAAAAAACATTCGAGATTTTGCACGGGCGCTGCCTTCAGGATGTACCGCACTTTTCTCAGGCTGCAGTTCGGGTCCCGCGCGACTGCCTAGCTGGACCCTATGCCGTTTCTGAGTATTCTCCTAGGGTTGAGTCAAAGTGTCTTTTTAATCGCGCGGTCCTTACTCTTACAAAGTAAGCAAAAATCGTGATGCTGACCTGTGTTTGTGCCCGAACTGTGTAAACCATTGATGTGATACTCCTTCAGACAAAATGTAAGCGAATTTTATGCGATGACACAAACGGCTCTCTACTAACATACCAAAAGGGCGATGAGCACAATTCTAGCTGGCCGGCTCATTCTAAGCCTTTGAAAGAAATGAACAGCATTTAAACTCATTTCAAAAATTTCATTTATCATTGTTATTCTCAAAAGTCTTGGTAAAATCAGGACCTTATAATAACGGGCTAAGGGTGTTTACGTGTTTGTGTGTGTGTGTGTGTGTGTGTGTGTGTGTGTGTCCGTCTGTTACGAAATTCGTAGAGCGTTTTCCAGCTAGCGTTCTAAGCCCAAATTTTGCATAGTGCATGCTACCTTCACGAAAGTCCAACATGCAAAAGCACGAATAGATTCGTTGAGTGGATCCCTCAGAAATTGCGAGCTAAACGGATCCACCTGGCTTCTGTCCCGCAATATTGGTTCCGTATCAGCACTTTTTGCAAAGTCGTGGATGGGTTCGGTAAGCAAATGTGCAAGCCATAAACATAGGCCCAGAAAAGTGATCAAAAATCTACTACTTGACAAAAACGGCGCCAAAAAGAACTGGTTGCATAAATGGTCAATTTGCTAAAGTTCTAGCCAAGCATTTGAGAAGATTTTCGCAAAGAGATGTAGCTCACGGTGACTGTCGCTTTTATGGCTACTACCAAGCCATGAGAAATTCAAAAACCTATTCAAATTTACGTTCGTCTTTCTGCGAAAAGTTTCATCCACGCGAAATCACCGATCTCAAGTGAAAAAGCTTTCTAAATGAGGTAATTGTTTACATTTTATTCGTGGTAGTCAGCACAGCGCGGTGAGTTCCAGTGCCACAATTTTACGAGAATGAGTAAGGCACATAGATAGTAGAGCCAGTGCGAGCCTCTGCGAAGCAGAGGTGACGCACTGGTTGTAAAATAACCCTTTGCACCTCAAATGCGGTGTCTTCGCAAATCAAAGCTACTCACAAGGGTAGAACCATTGATTTGAGTGTCCTTTCAAGATAAGTTGCATATAATTTTTGCAGTGCATCAAACGCTGTCCAGATTTAACTTCCTTACCTCTATTCAGATCTGGGTGAGAAATTATAAGCGTTTCAAGAACCAAAAAGAACGCGCAACGAGGATTAGATTGTAAAAGCCCATGTAACTGGCAGATGCGATGTTATACAGTACGGGTGTGACGGAAATTATTCTTTGCACGGAGTGATCTGGCATTGGGCTCGGCATGAACTGGCACTCGGGAAATTTCAAAACGAAATCACCTTTGATCTTGAAAATTTCGTATGAAGCCTTCTTCAACCCTGAACCTCAACGCTGCGTTTATAGTTGTGCCTTTTGAGACGTGCCATCCATGGATATGTCGAGAATTTCGGCTAAAATCATGTAGATCGAACCTCTAATTCTTTGAAGCAGGCGAAGAACACAGGAGCAGTTTCTAGGGTTAGAGCATAAGAGAGGTTCTGAGACAAATGTGTTCAAATTAGGAGTCTTTTCAACAAAATTCAAACCATGACCCACCATGAGGATCACATTGTCCCAGGTGGCAGACACTGCATGACCCACCATGTGGATCACGTTGTCGTCAATGTGTTAAACCCAAAAAACCTCACCCTCAAAATACGAAAACTCTACTAAGAAAATACGTCGCAATTTTGTCTTTTTGGCCACAAAAACGATATCCCCTTTGCTTTTTGTCCCAAGAACGATAACCAGCTTGACCCGGTACTAGCTGTGCCCTGGTCTGACAGCCATCACTGTCTTGAGCTCATGGAAGACTTCTGCGAATGATTTTCTTCAATGTCTTAAATGTCCACCGCAAAACTTTAATAACTTCTTTCTCAGAGGTGTCCGCAATTAGGGAGGACAGATTTGGAATCAGTGTCTCCTTCAGAACCCCCACAATGGTCGGTCGCCTCATCGTGGCGTGGGGGTGACACTGGGTGTCGAACTGCGATGCACAGCCGAGTGTATACTCTGGTAGGGCCTCCCAAGCTGTGAAGGAGTTCGACGTTTCCGGTTTCGGCCGGATGCCTAGCTAAGAACTGGCCGCGCCAGATTCTCCGCCGTCTGGCTTCTTCTGGTCGCTAGGTTCTCCCCGTTCCAAGCCCGGGGTCAGCGATCACCCCGTGGAAATCAAGAGTAGGCCTAGTAAGCCACCTCTTGTAGGGGAACAAATTTTATTACTCAGACAGCAAGAAGATTTAGAAAAAACCCTGTACATCGGATCCCGCCTACGGCGCCGGGTGGTAGCAAGAACGATGTCAGGGTACTCAGGGCGCCTTTCGGATTGGACAAAAACGACACGTCTGCCCGGACGACACGCCATGGAGACTGCCTCATGCTCTGCACTTACAACGCCAGGACAGTCTCCACAAACGCCGACCTCCACGCTCTTCTCGACGCTGCAGAGCACATCAACTACCACATCATTGCTCTGCAGGAAACGAAGTCCAGGAAGAAGGACGTGCGACAGATGAGTGATGGGACCCTCATCATTCGTGGTGAAAAGGTTCCATCACGAAACGTGGGAGGCGTCGGCTTTGTCGTCCACCCATCTATCGTCCATCTTGTCGATTCGCACGAGATCCTATCACCTCGACTAGGCATCCTACGACTACGACCTCCACATCAGAAGACCATCAGCATCATCAACTGCTATTCTCCAACATCAGCAGCTGACGAATCAGAACTAGATGCTTTCTACGAAGATGTGGAGGAGCTCGTCCGCAACGAGAAGTCCTTTTACAAGTTTGTTGTGGGCGACTTCAACGCGAAAATCGGGATGCCACTGGAAAGGGAATATAGGATCGGGAAGTTTGGATATGGGCTCCGGAACGAAAACGGCAACCGTCTTGTTGGGCTTCTCTCCGCCGCACGACTTTTCCATGGAAATTCCATCTTTATGAAGAAGGAACATCGCCGGTGGACATGGGAATCGCCCAACGGAACGACCCACGCGGAGATCGACCACAGCGGATTCAACAGCGGTAAGATTTTGAGCATCTCTGATGCCGGACAACTGATGACATAAAAGTTGCTGGAAATGTTGTCATGACCTTTAATAGTGATAGGGCTATCGGAGTTTGCTTCATATATTGCGTCTAAGAAACCAGCTCGTCAACACGTTATGAGCAAAAACGTAAGAGTATAAGCAAGGGTTACCAAAGTAATTTTGGGACAATGATATCACATGGGTAGGGCACACTATTCATAAGACATGGTCTTTCTTACAAGGAAATGATCAGAAATGGAAGTGGCCATTTCAGACAAGCTGCATACCCTCAGATGCTGGAAATGTTGTCATGACCTTTAATAGTGAAAGGGCTATCGAGCTTGCTTCATATATTGCGTCTAAGAAACCAGATGCAGCATGAAGCGCTCTAAATCTGTCTTCTTATCTGCTTATCGCTCTTCTGGACGAAGCTATAAGCCATTAAAGACTATTATTTTGCTAGGAAATTATGCGTAAAATTAGAAATTTAGCCGTACAGAGCCACGTTCGCCTAAATGCTGAGCCAAAACATGCAGCTAGCTTACTTCAAATTTTTCAAGCCAGCAGCTGAGCTAAAAGTGCAACGATGTGCCCAATTTCGCTGCTTTCATGTATGATTCTTTCACATTAAAACCGCTTGTAGCTTCGTCCACAGAGGCGGTAAGCAGATAAGGAAGACAGATTGAAGTTAGCGTTTTATACTGCATCGAATGATATGCAGCTTCTTTGGTTTGGCCACCTGATTTCTGACATTTCCTTGTTAGTAAATTATAGATTTTCCAGTATTGTCTGCTAGCTGTCCATCGCATTGGCACTCTGGTCGTTTGTGAAGCTTACTTTACTCTGTTAGTAATCTATCATATTCCTACATGTAAAAGCAGCGCCCAAAAACTTCCTTTTTATGCCAGTAAAAGAAGGCTGAGAAGGCTTCGAAAACATGATATATATTTGCAGAGTTGCGAAAAACAGCCTCCAGGTGACAATTATACCGGGGATTTATATTTTGAAGTAGTTGCAGCTCATACTTGACAACTATGAAAAAGGTGGGTCTCTTCTGCCAACAAAACTCAAAGCAAAAATTCGATTTTTCAAAAC